GTAAACCTTCCTGTCACGTAACGATCATTACGTGCGTGACAATCCAAATATTAACCGCAGCACAACAGCAGAAGTAGCCAAATCTCTTCTCATATTTCCTGACAAGATCATATGTTCTTTAAATTTGTCCCTAGTATAAAGACAACAGAAATACGAAGAAAATTTCAACTTAACGTACCCAAACCCCCTTCAGTTACTGTCTGTCGACTCGCATTCTCCGATGAGTACTCCACAATGGTTTCGTTGAATAATCTCTGAGCTGTCTCTAGAGCGGCTTTCCATGGCCCGGTTGCGATCTGAACTTGGAAGAGTTTGTTCATGATCGCGAATTTCTGTTGCTTATTCTTGGCCTTGTCAAGCATATATTCCCAGATAAGTGAAGCTGTTGGCAGGTTTTTACTCATGTTCTCTTGCGCTAGTTTGAAGCTTCTTGGAAATGACCACTCTTCCGCTTTCACGTTCTCCAGTACATCTTCTTGAGCTGACGGAAGCTTTGATCGCAGTTCATCAAGTCCCTGTATAGCGAGATCTTGGTGCTCTGGTGCTAAATATTCCATGATCGATTTCACCTTTAGGTCTCGATTAAAAGAAAAGATTTAAAGATTGTAAAATTCACAAAAATTTAGCCGCCCAGGCGGAAATGTTTTCGTTTTTGCCAAACCCACTTGGAACTCTGGGATGAATGAATGAGAGGAGTCTGGAAACTAAATTGAAACCATACTAAGAAATCTTCAGTATTTGGTGGAGAAAATCACTCGTTCACGTATTTACGAGAACAGATACTGGAAGGAACACGTCAGCCGTGTATATTTTGAGACAAAAATCTGTCTTAGCTTTTGTGTCCAGGTAAACAAAGCTTTTTAGTATAATTCTCCCGAATTTTCAGAGGTGAATATAAGACTTGGGCATTCTGATTGGTCGAAAAGCTCGGCTTGTGACGCTATATGCGGTGAACATAACATTTTTGAGACCTGGTTACTATGCTCGCCACCTTTGCCATCTCGTTAAGTAAACATGGTGGACAGTTTGTAAATGAAATTTTCATTTATTAACAACTCCGCAATCATTGACCAAGGAGACCATCGCAGTAGAAAGACACTAGAATCATGGCACACGGCAAAAACTGTTG